ACCGGGCGTTCTATTCGGGTGAAGACGGTAGGGCCACTAAGTTCAAATGAAGAGAGATGGGGGGAACGACCTTTCTGTGTTCGGACCTCGGATCAACAGCTGGAGATCCGACCGACAAGATCGGGCGATGAACATTTTCGGATTTTGCTGATTATTCAAATGTATTGTTACATACGTCGACAATAATTGGGATGGAGAAAATGAAGGTAGACAGAAGGAGAGGTTCGGTGCTGATATACGTTTGAAAGAAGCCGACGCGGAACATGTATATGTATATGTATATGTAAATGTATATGTGTATATGTATGTGTATATGTATATGTGTATATGTATATATAATATGTCGTTTGGTGTTTTTTTGGGCGGTGATCACATTTTATTCCAGATGAGCTTGTCTTCACATATAGTCAACGAACATAGAGCTGCAGTCTTCCTTTTTTTTTTTTTTTTGTAAGAACTGCAGACTGCAGTCTTACCATGTACAGCAGCACTTTGTTCTTTACTTCCGACCCCAGATACGCACAGCCCGTCCGTCCTCTTTTTTATTTTTTTTATAATGACGTTAAAAGTAGTGATATTCCGCTTGCACCCTAAAGCTCCCACTTAATCTACACCTCTCAGATCATTTCACAGAGTCGAACTAGAGTCAAGCTCAACAAGGTCTTCTGTCCCCGCCGATTCTGTTCTTGCCCCCGCGCTTTTGTCACGCTACCGTCTTCACCCCGAACACAACGCACCCTCATTTCGGCTGTGCCTGACGGGAAATATAGCTTGTATGCATTCATTATCAGGGTGCGTTATGTTCCGGAGTACGAGAGGTATTCTCTTCTCTACGAGAGGCAGCGTTGGCCACTGCGTGTACTGTTCGAGTTACATACTGTAGTAAGTGCATCTTCGGCTCTGGTCGAGTTCCCCATTTTTGACACATACTGTCGCACGCGCGCGCGCGCGTGTGTGTGTGCTTGTGTGTGTCTGCGTGTGTGTGTGCGTGTGTGTGTGCGTGTGTGTGTTACAAATTATCACCACAACTTCCTCTATTCCGCCCAGATGAGTAGATCCAAGTCATAGCAACTTTACCTATATTGCAGACAATGAAGCATGCTCGAGATGAGCCAATCCACCAATGAGACAGTTTTGATTGTGAAGTCAATATCTATTCAGAACCTTACGTTTAATCAGACAAGGAATCTCACCTTTACACAAGCACTGCAACACACTTGAGATGGGCCATCCAAACAGCAAAAAGAATACGAGACACAGTACATTTGTTAGTATGTTACATCGTTTTCTTGATTATTTTTTCATCAGCCAGCATTGGGAGGCCTCCCATGTTCTTTGTTTTTGCAGTTACCCTCTTACTGGCCACGTTGATGATGGTTGAGCGCCAGCTGCCCATATCCCCGTGTGCCTTTACGGCCCACTTGCACGTTATAAAAGGAGGCAGAGTAAAAGGGAAATTATATTTTGTCTGTTCTCTCAACGACGCTCATTCATATGCGTTTACTTGTAGTACACAAGGAGAGGGAGTAGACAACAGGGAGGAGGACAATAGAAAATGAGAGAGAGAGAGAGAGAGAGAGAGAGAGAGAGAGAGAGAGAGAGAGAGAGAGAGAGAGAGAGAGAGAGAGAGAGAG